TTTATCAAAATTTAATATGTCATTTGATTAAATTGAAAGTTTAGAGTAAAAATTGATATATATTATAAGTGTTAAATGGTAATTTTTTTCCATTATGTCTATATACTAACATGGAAGTTTAGGAACTGCTTACTGCCTATTAGATGACTGGCTTAAAATTGACATTATATCCTTTAATTTCGTAAACATCTTGTGTCGACCAATAATTAATGTAATATATAATTTTAACTAGCCTGTAAAATATTATACGTCTTGAAATATTATCATCACACATTAATTTATTCAATAAGGTGTTAAATCAATACAAAGAAATTATAAGTATATATATAAAACCTAATTTAAAATAATTAAACTACAAATAAAATCCTACGTCATCACTAAACCATCCTAAACTTATCTTGCATATTCATCCTATTGGTTCATTAGCATTCCTCATATCCCAAAACCAAATTAAAGTAAGCACACAGGAAATATGTCCAAAGTCATAACATCAATATGTGTCATTATTCACTAATTAAGGGGGAAAAACTATATATTTAAAGCTGAATAGGAACATTCATCCTCCAACCAACACATATTATATAATAATACCACCATGTCTCTATAACGTGATTTAATATATAATGTATATATTCAGAAAATCAATGTCTGAAAACAAAAACATCTTTCACCAAACAACTTTAATTTATTTTTTTGTCACCACTAAAGCAAAGTTGGTATGGTTTAATTAGCTACTATACACCACTTAATTAGAATATGACTTCGGACTTCCCCATGTTTTTTGGTGTCTTCCCCATGTTTTATGAATGTCTGAAGATTACTTGTTAGTTAAGGACAGACACATTTTCATTAAACTTTTTATTAAAGCATAAACCCTGATTACTTTTTTAATTTCTGATATGAATTGGTCATGTTTTCCAGTGGCTGCCAGAACCATGTTTAATTTGGACCAGCAGACCAATTAGTGTTTTCTCGGACGTGTCCATGTTTTATAAAGTTTGATAATTAAAAGTTCTAATCAATTTTATTTTATTTTAGTGACGCTAAATGCTTCTTCTCATGCATAATCTCATGTTCTTAATGTCATCTTAATCACTAATCAACTCAAAAATTTAAGTTTATTATGATCTATTACGATAAATAGATATCTCTCAAGACCTAAAAGAAAGTGAGTCCATTATTTTGCAGCTTTACCCATCTTTGCTTTTGCTTAACTACAACGCTGATGGATTCTAATTTTGATGATCAGAACAGCAACCCATTGAGGAGACACTTTTTTGCACTATAAATTATGTTGTTGTGTATATTGCTTAACTACAACGCTGATGGATTCTAATTTTGATTATCAGAACAGCAACCCATTGAGGAGACACTTTTTTGCACTATAAATTATGTTGTTGTGTTTATATATATATATATATATATATATATATATGATTTAATACGAAAGAAATAATAAATTTGGTTGGTCTTGTTTTAATCTTTAAGTTTGTTTGCTGCAATTATCAGTTCTAAAATTAAAGGATATATACTTTGAAACCCACCGCACCATCCATCCCATTCCCAACAAACTTCCCATTAATCCCAAAAAGTTTATTTGATTCAGATAGAAGAGATTGAAATGGATAGTTTTGTTCCAATCAATTGAGCCACATATATAACACGTCTATCCCATCAAGGAATTGATTGCCATTAACTCTATCTTAAACACATGATTCATGTCCATGTTTCTAAAGTTCGAGCGGTTGGAAGTAACATTCATTAGTTATTGGGTTTGTAAATTGAATGCAAATAAAGTCCTACATTGGTTAGGAAGAACATGATTTATGTTATACGAGAGATGACAATTATCTCTATTAATATGAGATCTTTTATGTTCGAAACGGACAATATCATAACAAGAATGGGAGAAAGGTTAAATACTACCCCCAAATAGTAGAAAACAAGTTTTAACAAAGATCATGTGAAATGGAAACATGGTAAAAGTAATTTGAGTGAGTGTCGGAAAATAGCATCTCGATATTCGCAAATGACTTGAGTAAAAAGGATGAAAATTCTTTTCTTAATGGTCGCAATAAGTAGACAATAATTGATGCTGTTTATTAGTCACTAGTCACTTGTCTTCATCATCGAAATACTTCCCTTTCATAATATTAAGATTTGATCAATTCATATCTTTTTTTTTTTTCTTTTTTCAAGAGGTGCTATTTCATTGAAGGTACAGTGAGAAACATTAAAAATAAAACGTAGAGAAATTTTAATTAGTAGACATGTTATAATTAAAAAAAAAGATATTATTTTTATTTATGTAATTTCCAAATTCTATTTATTTTAGTCTTTATACTTATGTAACCGTAGTTTTGATCTTTGTAATATTAGAAAAGAATTATTTTGGTCCATATTTGAAAAAGTGTTAACATAAACTTTTATTTTTGACAGTTGAAATAACTATTTGAAAACTTATTAAATACAATCCTAAAGGTTAAAAGTTTATAAATTTAGTAATTAACTTTTAAAGTTGTATAATAAATTTTGAAACTTGAGAAGTGTTCAATAAATTTTTAAATTGTAATTTAATATCAAATAGTGCCTTTGAATTTTTAAACGTGTCTAATATATTTATAAATTTTTTATTTTTTATCTAATACGTTACGAAACTATTTTATATTTCTTAAAATTAATAGATCTATTAGACACAAAATTGAAGGTTATTTTATTAAAACTTTTTAATATTTAGGATGGACTAGATACCATCAATAAATTATGGATGAATTTTAGGATCGTTTGAAAACGATTTTGTTTTTTGTTCTTAGTCGTTGATTTGTAGTTTTTGAAAAATAAGATTGTTTCATAGCCTATTCAATTTTCAAAATCTCATTTTTTTTTCTAATACCCAATGTGAAACGATGTAAATCCCGCAGCGGCAACGACGATCTTTGTTCTTAAATTTTTAGAAACAAAAACCCACAAAAACAAAGAGAAAAATATAGGGGAACGTTTTTCTTTACCTTTGAAGAACCGTTTTTCAATGAATCACCAATGAACACCACCACCAATCTTCCCGCTATCCTCTGGGGACGATGATATCGCTTGTAGGAGCATTGTTTTTGGAAAACAAAAGGGCATTGAAAGAGGGCCAGAGAGAATTCATCCGGGGTGAAGTTCATCTACTTCGTTTTTGCAGAACCATTCTGTAGATAAAACGAGGGATGACGTGGCCTATCTTTATAACGAGTTTCTTAATGGAATCTCCTCTTGAGAAGGGAGAAAATTAGGTACCAGTTAATTTCAATCTTACAATAGAAAGCATGGAAGGGTGACAAAACAATATACATATGTGAACAACATAAATAAAGAAAAGTAGAAAGCAAATACAAAGAGAGAAATTTTGTCACGAAAATTAAGGAGATTGGCTAAATTTTGGTAATTTTTTTTTCGTTTTTTCGTTTTTTTTTTTTATTAAGCTAAAATTTGGTAAGTTGTTGGAAGATGTTTCAAAGATGGAATCTTCCATCATATAATTAACATTCAAAAAAAAATGGCTTAAGAGTTGGTGATAGCGATGCCAATAATTTGATCACCACGTGTAAAAGAGACAAGTAAAGAAAAGAAATGGAGAGGAACTTTTTCGCTGGACCAATTTTTACTCTAAAACTTTCAATTCTAGTAAATTTGCACCTTAAATTTCGATAAATGTCAGCAATATTCACCTCACTTAAAAAGTGTTACGATTTTAATTCTTATTTTTGTTTACAAAATTATTGAAAAAAATATTCTCATATGTATCCAACGATTTAAAAAAATTTATATTTGATATGAAATTGATAGGATTCAAACAAAAACAATATTGGAATAAGACTTTATTTTGTTGAAATTTTAAATTTTGATAGAATTGTTTAATGATTCAGTTTGTGTATTAATCAAACTTGATGCATAGCTTCATTTTCATTAATTCAGTGAGTGTTTTTTTTTTTTTTTTTGTTAGGTTACTTAGGTAAAAATTGCATTATTTTTTGTTGAAATTGTTATGACCTTGTTTTTTTGTGACTTTGATGGTACTTTTAACTTTGACTGCGTATCTTTGATTTTTCTGTCACAACTTTGACTTTTGTTGCATCCAACATTTTTCTGTATGTTTTCTCCAGACTTCAACATACAAAAAACAAAGTACACTTCAATCAAAACTTTATACAAAGCATCCTAATCATTTCAGATGTTATTTTCATGCAGACTCAAGGTACATTTCTAATCATTTTTCTCATATTTTTATTGTGATCAAAATCTTCATAAATTATAACCCAAATATTCTATCTATTTCCTTGTGACTAAGTACTAGCCAAGCCAAACAAAAAATAATTTGTTAAATGCCAAACATGGCCATTAATCTTTGCTTGCTTAGGCTTGTAATGAAGTGAGAAATGTGTTAAAAGAACTGGGTTTCCCAAAAACTTTACCCAACTTCAAAATTCAATGGTATGTTGTAAATTAAGAGAGATGTTATTCTCAATTTCTCATGTTAATAACTTTAATTTATCAAAGTTGGTACCTTTTTGGACTATTATTATTATAATAATTCTTTGAAAGCAACCCATTAACAATAAAATAAATGGTCAACAATAACGGCTTGGCCCTCCACAACCAAACCCCACCCACTTTCTTTTTCTTTCATTTCCACTCTCCAACTTTATCATATTTTCATTTGGTACTAAAATACCCGTTCCTTAACAATGAAGAGGAATTATTCCTCATCCTTCTCGTTCATCCCAGTTTCACCATCATCTAGTCCAAAAGAAAACAGACTCTCTCTTTGATCATTTTCTTTGTACCTAATAGAAATACACCAGATCCAGAATTAAGCAAGTTCCTCCCAAATTTTTCAATTATAAAATAATCAAGAACATCACAAGAAACTTTAAGCTTTTTGTAAAAATTAATCCTTTGTCAGAGATCTTGAAGATCTTTGAACATATCAAGTTTCTCTTTCTCTGCCCACAACACCCTTGAAAAGTAAAACTTAAAAGCTTCTTTTCCTTCTTTATATGTTAGGCCAAGCCCCATGTTCCGAAATATTAGTATATGAAATAAAATAAAACTAGAGGGAGAGAACTTGCAATTGCAATACAAGCAGCCAAAACCAAACCCCATCCACATTCACTGGTTCACATCCCCGTGTGCTGGCCCCAACTAATAAATTCTCTTCTCCAAACTTCAAATGATCAGAAAAAAGATAAAAAGGGAAAAACAGAGGGAGATGGCCTTCCTATTTGAGTTTTATGTTGAAGTTGATCTAATTAGACCCCTCAAATAGACCTCTGCCAGTGAGACTCTAAGACTCAGGGGACTTCCAGATCAACGATATCAGTATTAGCATTGCTTATTAAGAGGAAACTTATGTGAAAAAGTAGTGTTTTTGGTTCTCTTTTAACTTGATAGAGAAGTTAAAAATTTAAGGATCAAAAGATGTTGTAATAATTGAAAGGATGATAAACCGATTCCAGTTTCGACGATGACCGAGACCTAATTTAGAAGATGTTGCTTCGATGCGTCACCAAATATCACCAGTGCCTGCCTTGAGAGCCACCGCCGCCTTTATTCTTTGAGAAGAAGGTATTCTTTGGCTTTGGAATCTCGTGGATGTCCATGACTTGAATTGTTCTTTGCCTTTTGGCTTCAATAAAACAAAGAGACATATAGCAGTTAGCTTTTTTTGTTGTTCATAAAGAGGCAGAAACGAAATGAAGGGGAAAGAACGGTAGCCAAACCATTTTCAGCTTCTTTATAATTCTCTTGAAGCCTTTTTCTAGCTGATGCAAGCTTTAGAGAATCAAAATTTGGTTCCTTCTGTTGTTCTTTCTGTCTCTGCAAATGGGCCATCAATTCAATTGACATAATAAGAAAAACCTTCCTAGAAAAGATATATTTGCTGAAGACAAATTTGGCAGACTGTAAGTAAGACCATGGATATCATCTGGGACCTGAGAAAAATTTAGACCTACCACTCAAATTTGTCAAATTTCAACACAATTGATGCAGTTTGAGTTTAGTTTGTTATGTTTTCGGATGCATAAGAATCGAAAGTTCAATTTTCTTCCTCCATTTTTGGCAACCAAACATAGAGTTAAAAGACTCTAATTTGGTTACCATACATTTTGAGGAGTTAATGACGCCATTGGAGTGGGTTGAGCTTGTTTGGGCGGGGCATCTCTTCTCGGAATAGGTTTTCCCTTCGGTTCTGGTTCCGAGTTATTTCTATCAGACCCAGAACTTCCATCTAAACAAGAGGAAAAGAAAGGAAGAAAATGAGAAACCATGTTAACATTAGTAAAACAAGAAGTTTTGAATCCTAATTCTACACTCACTGTGTGGATTGGGAGAGTATGCAAAATCAGGAACCTACGAGACAAGGAACCATCAGAAACAACACAACCGCAGATAAATTATAGAAAGAAACTTTTCGATCTTTTCTAAGAAAGAAAGCAAACATTAGAAATCATAAGATCAATGTTTTCAGTTCACCTGGTGGTAACCATTTTGAGGAGCTTTTTGCTGGGGTGAGTCGCCATCAGCTGTCAATAACATTAGAAACAATTCTTAGGCCTTAGCTAAATTTTTCAACAACAGAGTGAATTGACTTAAACCTTCTAATTATTTCTGAAGGAATTGAATAATGAAGATAAGACTGGTATTAGTATGTTCTACCTATTAGTGTGGATGTCTGCTCCCCAGGTTGATTCAACCTCACCCATTCATCCACAATATCCTTCCATTTCCTGAGGAAAAACACCAACACCACAAATGGAAATTAACAATAATTGGGCTGATTAATCTCAACAACAACCAACCTCTGAAATTCACCGAGCATCAATCATTAATTACTAAATTTTTATGAACCTGACAAGATGTTTCACCAATCTCCGAACATCATTAGATGAATGCTTCCTCAACCGATTCACATGTCTTCCAATATCAGTTTCCTATACATAAACAAAAGAAAAATTAAGAAAAAGAAGAAGAAGAAGAAGAAGAGGTGGAAGGAAGCAACAGAACCCATGATGAATTCAGAAGAATTTCATCAACACTTTAAATTCTTACCTTAAGAGCTTGGAATGTTATGTCCATATCTGCCAAGCTTTGAAGCAGTTCAACAAGAGCATCTTCAGGCTGGCACAAGAAAAATCAAACACCAATTGATGAGTTTAAGAGAAATTCCGCTAAAACAATCAAACAATTCTAGATAATCAGAGTCAAAAAACAAGAAGACCTGGTGAGGAATTTCAAGCTGCTCTTTAATTTCTAGAACCCTCTTCTGCTCATCATCAAACAATCCTGCATATGGGTCAGCTCCGTCGCCATCCCCTTCGGCGGACTGCGGCGTCGGAGGGGAAGCCCTCTTCGGCTCAGGGCTGCTCGGTTTGATTTCACATCCGTTAGGTTTCCCGTTATGGTGGCGATCCGTATCGCAGTTTCGACATCGCGATGGAGGCGAAGTCAACGCGTAGAGGCGCTCGACGATTCCATCTCTCCGATTCTTCAATTGATTGCCGTAATCCAATGAAGCGACCTCCATTGCTGTATCGATGAAGGTCCAGACATCGACGCCGGCAGAATCCAATATCGTCCGAAAATCATCTAAATCCAATCGAACCATCTCGGAAGAGTCCGATTAAAGAGAGAAAAATCGGCGACCAAGAGAGATATCTTCCCAATAACAATCTGGGATAACCTTGTTCTTATCGTTCTTCAGAAGTGGGCAGAAACGGATCTAATCGAAGAAATTTTGATATCCACTTCGGGTGTGACAAAAAGAAAAGCTAGAAATTGCAGAGAAAACCCAGTGGTGGGAAAGCAAAATCGTCATAATCCATTCGGAAAAAGGAAATTGAAAGAAAACCCAAATGACGCAGAATAGATCTGATTCGATCCTCAACAAGAGTATAACCGATCGTTTTCCGGAATCCAAACGCCTTCAAAAGGAAGACGACCCGTCAAACGAAAACGGAAGACAGAGAAGAAAAGTAACCCCAAACAATAAATTTACCAAAAACAAAACAAGAAAAAGAGAAAACTGGGAATATTCCTTGAGAAAACGAGGAACAGGAGACGCCGAATTCCGCCCTGAAATTTACCAAAGAAATTATTGCGGCCTGCTGTGCTGGGGGAGTGGGGAAATTTGAGTTTTAGCTGGAACAAGAAAAGGAATGTCCGAAATTAATTATAAAAAAAAAAAAAAAAGGGGTGGAGAATTTTGGTTTTCCTTTTGTGGGTTTAAAGTTAAAAGAGTGATGAGGACGAGAGTATGATTGAAATGTTGGGAGCTCCGCCGTGAAAAACGAAAACCACGGCGGCCGGAGAATGATCGGAGAAAGCAGAGAGAGAGAATATTGAAGCGTGTTGGGTTGAAATTTGTTCCTATATCCTACAGATAGGATTATTTTTTTCTCTTGCTTCTCCCCAGAGGTCTGAAATTGAATGTATGAATTCTTTCGCCAATCGCATTCATTGGCGCGTGACGCAACTCCCACTGCCTCCATTAAATACCAATAATCCCCCATTCATTAATGGCCCAAATCCCTTCTTCTAAATCTAGGCCCATTTATTCTCCCCCTTCAAGATAATCCGCACCCGTCCCACTACTACTACTACTAGAGATTTCACACTTCTTTATTTTCCAAAAAAATATAAAAACTTTAACGATGATCAGTAAATATGTGTACTTACAGGTCAGCATCTAAATATTTTTCGTCAATAATTATAAATTTTTTACTTGTCTTTTTCGTTAAGAAAAATATTTAAGTGTTTGTTGGTCACATCTAAAAAAAAATATATTTTTTCTTAGAATTGTCAAATTTTTAATGGTGATCAGTAGTATTTTGAATACAGCAATTAAGTATTTTTATTTAGTTATTCCCATAAATTTCAATTTCCAAACTTCTTCCTTATTTAAATTTTCTTTTTTTTTTCATTCTTCTTCTCCCCTAAATTCACTTTAATTATATCATCCATTCATTAATTATTAAAAAATAAAGTATTTTGTCACTTTCCTTAAAATGGAATCGAATAATCTAAACTAACTCAATCTAAATATCGTACGGTATGATGGAATTTATCACTTTATTGTAAACGTTCAAATCATACAATTTTTTAACGTCATTTGGCTTAAATAACGATGGGCTTTATAAATAGAAAGTGGTTAATTAGTCTTGAAATACTGTTTAAAGTATAATTATTTTGCTAAATTATTATAAATAGAAGGTACTATAGTGTCAAAATCGTCCTATGTATTATTTTTTGTATATAAACTAATAGAAATAGAAATTCGAGGGGTTTTTTATTTGAAAAAAATATACAAAATAGGTTGTTGATGGGCAACTTTTAATCATATTTCCAATCAAAGAAAGTTGTGTAAATGAAAGGAAAAGCAGGCGACATGTAGTCCCCCTTTCTTGTGGTGATAAATAAGAATCTCTTTTTTTCTTTTTTGTGAATCTTTGATGATTTTAGAAGGCGAAGTTCTAAGATTCGACCCTCATAGGATAGTGATCTATTATTTGTCGATTAACTAATGCGACAGTCAAATCAATGCAAACATAGTTTAGTGGATCTTCTTACTTTCTTTAAGATTATTGAAGGTTCAATTACAACTAAAAAATACCCCTAGACGTCATCTCTTTTAACTATTCATGCCAAAGAAAAGATGAATATATTAGTAGCTCCACTAAAAATGATATTATTTTTACTTTAGACTTTCAAATTCATCAAGATTTTTAACAATCTAAATTGCGATGGTTGAAGTTATAAATAGCATTCGAGAAATTTTGATGGATGGACGAACTACAAAGCCATAAATGAATAGAAGAATCGTAATATTAATAGAGTACCTAATTTGCCATGTTCATCTCACCTAAAACAAAATCAAAATGTCAAACTATTAAATGATCATAAACTCCTAGCTACGAATCTTTGACAAACTTTGAGGAAATAGTACAACCTATTCTTCATCATCCACTTGTGGTCTGAATCTTAACCAATAGAGTTATTGTTGTAAATTTTACAAATTTAATATTTACACGATATAAAAATGCAAAATACAACACAAAGTGGCATCCAAAATAAGAACACAGAATTGAACCCCACATGGTGTAACCAAGAGAAGACACTTAGCCCTAATTAGAAAACAAAAATGTTGACTTTTGGGTGGCATTAACAGTTTAACACAAAGCACACTGAAAGGGGGGAAGAAATTGTGATTGGCTTTATATTGGCTCTTAGGGCCAAAGAAGAAAAAATCTTGAGACTTTGTCAAGCTTCACATTTAGCCATCATGATTAAAAACAGGAATGGCCCATCATATTTAATTGGCTTGAATTATTGGGGATGATTGAGATATTCGTATTTAAAAGATATCTAAAAAGATAGTCAAAGCGAATATAGCTCCACAGTAATTGAAATATAAGAAGTTGTAAATTTGATCCCCACTCCAGATGTTGTACTAAAAAAAATAATAATAAAAATAAAAATAAAGATACCTAAAAATCTTTATCTTCCCTAATTGCTAAAATTAAATCTCTCTTTTCCTTTGCATTCATCAAATTTGATCTAAATATATAGTTTACAAAACCTACATCTATTACTATTTACAATGGTTCAATTTACACTTCAATTGAAAATTATTGGGTATAATGGTGGTTGTGAAGATTCTCTCTTTAGTCATGTTCATAATTTTGAATTACAAATGTGGAAAATTGGGAACAATCGATCAATATTGATTATGTTGTAAGCCTTAATTGCCTATATCTAGTTAAACTGGTTTATTGCCTATTTCTCGTAATTTTTTTTTTCTATTTTCTAATTTACATTAAAAGATATTTAAATACTATTTTTAACTTTTGGGTTACTTTCAATTTTTATTAATTTTAATCCGTTTTTTTAATTTACAAAATTTTAGCACAAATTCTATCTACAATATAAACCATCTATTATTTAGTTATGGTTGTCATTCAAGAAAATTACTGTATATGTAATATTATGTTAAAATTGTGATTTAAAAAGTACATTAAAATTATTAATTACAGGAAATTAGAAATGTTTCTGGATCTGATTTCTCTCCATTTTCTTTTCTTTTTTGTCTTTGAAATATAATTTTATTATTATTATTATTATTATTATTATTTTACTATCAATCTCTACCTAAGACATTTTATCTAAAAAAAATCTCTAAGACGATTTTGGTGAATTTAAATTTTAAAGTAATTATTATGTTTAGCAAAATTTTATTTCCGTATATAACATATGGGCCGGAATGAAGGAGACTGCGCAAAAAGAAGAAAATACTAAATTTGGCCCATGCAGGTTTCGAACCTGCGACCTTCGCGTTATTAGCACGACGCTCTAACCAACTGAGCTAATAGGCCATATGCTACTAAAGATAAAAACAATATTTTAACTTTTTACTATACATTTGTGATTAGTATATTTTATTAGTGATTGATAATAAAAATGAAAATAAATTTGATTATTTAAAATAGTCAAAATACATAAAGATTAAAAACTAAATTTTAGCTAAATTTAACTCTCTTTTTTTTCTAGTTTAAGACTAAGTTCTTAAATTATTATATCTAAAAATGCATGTTAAATAATTGTTTATTTTGCATCATATTCGGAGAAAAATTATACCAATTATCGTTGAGCTATGATCGCTTGAACTGTTTTAATTGTAGTTTTGAACCTTCTGAATTGAAATATTTTATTGTTACTTTCTTTAATATTTCAAAATTTAGTTTTAAAATAAATAAATTTAAATAATTAGTTTATTTTTTACCATATTAAAAAAAAGTCCAGTTAGTAAGTGACGAACCGTTACATTTTTGTTCAAGAATTTGTCCGATTAAAAAAAATATATTCAAAATTTGAGGATAAAAAATTAACTCACGAACCAAGGGTTTAAAAAAGAAATTAATAATAAAAAAACAAAAACAAAAAACTTGAAATTGAACCTGCAGCGGCGCAAATTTGGCAGTGGCAGCGACCACGGCGTAGTCCTCGCCGGCCATTGAAGAGGAACAAGACACCCGCCAATTTCCGTCGTTCTCAGGTTCAATTCCCAGCTCCCCCTCCCTGCTAGTTCAAATTTTTGTGGGTACTTACGGGTTTTTCTTTCTTCTTCAACTTCTTCCACTTGATTCTCCAGACAATTTCTAGGGCTCATAATTACTTGGTTTTGTCACTAAGGCTTATGAATTACATCTTACTGCTCTGCTCTCTGTTTCTTTTTCCCCGTTCTGTATAGAAGAAACAGCAAAAGTGTTAATTGGTTTATAAACGAGAAAGATTTTTAATTTCTAGTTGACAATGCTGGTTACATTGTCCATTGGATGCGATGTTTTACAATGCTTATATGGTTCTGTTCTTTTCGCCCCATCTGGGTATGCAATGCCTATAGAAAAGAAAGTATTCCGATTAGAGGCCTAGAAATGGCGGCGGAGGTCCGAGGAGTTAACGACCGGACATACTACAACCTAGTTTTTGCTCATCATATAAACCTGCCATATAGCTTAGAATTTCCGAGCAATTGGAAGCATTAGGCATTGGAAAGGTGCTTAATTCTGAGGGCGCTTTGAAGAGTAGGAAAGGGAAGCATACATAGTACAATAGGTCAGAAAGCTGCTATAAGGAACTTGAAGCAAGCATGACAGATTTAATTTCCATTTTTGATGATAATATGGACAATAGCTGCCAACAAATATAGCAATCATGAACTTCCCATTATTTCATTTTAAACTACGATCACAAATTTAGTAATTACTACATGTAAGTTGGAATGTGACATCGATCAATCTAGAACTTCTTTCATTAGCTTTCTTCGTTCACTTATGTAGATTTTCCTGTGTCATTTGTTACTTTAGTTGACTTTTCTTAATTTTCAAGGTTGCTTTCTTCGGCTGCTTATCTTCATGTCTTAATTTCAAATTGAAGGTCATATGTATTGATGTAAAGCTACATATGCAATTTCTTATTTGATTTGATTGCTAGTCGAAGTTTTCTAGTAACTTGTTGTAGAATTCAGCATCTTCAGGTCACTTTCAGTCTCTGTCAGATTTGTCTGTTCAGTGGAAAAAAAAAGGCATGATATCATCATTCAACCAAAATAAAAGAAGGTCAAGTTTCAGCATTTCTTGTCTCTTCGTTGTAGGTAGTTGAAAATTTCAGCACATCCATGACGACCAATTATGATTCCCATTGAAAGAAACAGACTCTAAAGCCAAATAAAAAGAAATGAGTGTATCGGAATTACCAACTAAGGAGGCTAACGTCCTCAAGGGGCATGAAGGTGCAGTTCTAGCCGCGAGGTTCAATGCAGATGGCAATTATTGCCTCAGCTGTGGCAAGGACCGCACTATTCGCCTTTGGAATCCTCACCGTGGTATCCACATTAAGACCTACAAATCACATGGCCGTGAAGTCCGTGATGTCCATGTCACCCTGTATTTTCTCTATCTTCTTGCTCTTTGTATAATTAAGCCATTTTGAGCTTAGAGAGTTCTCATAGATTTAAATTTTAGGGCTATGTTGCACTGTGGCTGATCACTGTTATATGTGCTCCCCTATTTGCTTTAGAGACAACTCCAAGTTATGTTCTTGCGGTGGTGATCGGCAAGTCTTCTATTGGGATGTAGCTACAGGTCGTGTAATTCGAAAGTTCCGTGGTCATGATGGCGAGGTTCACTGCTTCCCCTAATGATATAACTTTTCAGCAAATTTGGTGTCACGATGTTGGGTAGTTGTTATGTCATGCAACTTGTATTTTTTTTTTTTTTTACTTTGTTTACTCTATTTAGCTCAGTTATAATTAATGTCAACATTCTGTCAAAGCATCTAGATAAAGAATTAGTGATTTAATTCCTCATACTCCAATTACAAAAAGAAAAAAAAAAATCTCCGTCCACAATTTTTATTTCCTTTTACTGTAAGCAAAATGCCTTTGAAAGGATTCATCTAATTTCATTTCATTTATTGTTGTAATATCTTGTAATTATCTACATTCCTCTATTTTAGGTGAATGCTGTGAAATTTAATGAGTATTCTTCTGTAGTAGTCTCAGCAGGCTATGATCAATCATTGCGTGCTTGGGATTGCAGATCCCACAGCACTGAGCCAATTCAGGTTTGACGTTCTACTTCTTACTTCACTCATCAAAAAGGTCCATTAGCTGTCAGTCTAGCTGATTGTTTATCTGATCTACTTATTCTTCAGATCATTGATACATTTTCAGACAGTGTAATGTCTGTTTGCTTAACAAAAAGTGAAATTATTGGAGGAAGTGTTGATGGCACAGTTCGAACATTTGACATACGAATCGGCAGGTAAGGGGTCATGTAGTTTGGGAAGGAAAAAACACCACGAACATGAATATTCTAATTGAATTTCAATTGCTATGACAATATTTCGAGAATTTTCCAATGAAGATCAATTGAGTTTTTTCCACTTCTTACAGACCATAATTTCAGCCATGATAATATTTTAGATGATTTTATTAATAAGATGGTTTTGTTCTTTCTGATTCCCTCAAAGGATTCTTGTTCAATAATTTGGCTGTGTGCAGCGGGGGAGGATATCTTCTGTTCCCACTTTCTTTCATATATGATTCTGGTTTAATACATTATTTCTCATCCAAGAAAAATGATTTTGAATATTAGTTATTAAACAATGCAAAAGTGAGAAGCCACATGCCTTCACTAATGATGACTCTTCTTTTGTTTTACAAATAGAGAAATATCAGATAACTTGGGGCAGCCTGTAAACTGTATCTCCATGTCCAATGATGCTAATTGCATATTAGCTAGTTGCTTAGATTCCACTCTCCGTCTATTGGACAGGTACGTCCAACTTTTGTAATAATGATGTAAATGGTTCTTCATCACAGTGTTTTATTTAGTTCTCAAAATTCTCAAACTGGTTTTTTCGTGTTTTAAGGTATTCTGGCGAGCTATTACAGGAATATAAAGGCCATACTTGTAAGGTTAGCATGATTTGAATCTTGGCAATGCCATACTCATTTAATTTCATCTGTTTAACAATCAATTTTCTAACGACAATGGGTATGTCTTCATCATGATTTTAATGTACTTTTTTATTCTTGTTGTGCTCTAGTAGATTTAAAAATATATATATATATATATATTAGACGCCTTCAATTCTTTTCTAAATCTTGACTTTCATACTTTATAAGTCATTACATCTCTTGTATTTTCACTACAGTCTTACAAGCTGGATTGCTGCCTTACCAATAATGATGCACATGTAACTGGCGGATCTGAAGATGGATACATTTATTTTTGGGATTTAGTAGATGCATCTGTTGTCTCCAGTTTCCGAGCCCATTCCTCTGTTGTAAGTTTGTATTCCTTCAACTTCTCAGCCTTATGTGATTCAGGTTAATACATTATTGTAGTGAGTTTTTCTCTCTCTCTTAGGTATTCTTGGTGTTTATTGATAAAGTGCATAGGTTCAAAAAGATGCATATTCATTGCATAATTGTTATTCTAAACCTTTGTTTTTTGGACGAGTAGAATGGGGCTAGAAAATGAGCTCCTGCTTAGCTAAGTGACTCCAGTAACAGCATCTCTCCCACCAGGCATTCGATTTGTTCTTCTACACCTTAGTAATGTTGATGATGTCTAAGGTTAACTGGGAGCGGTGTCCCTTCCTTTTTTGACTTTTTTTTCCCTTTATCAAGGGGTGTTCCTTCCTTCAACACTATGCGTCATTTGATTTGATCTGAGTTCCGGTAGCTTCCTTCAACTCTGTCCTAAAAGAAACTTCCCGTGCAATTGATTTTCAAAAAGTTGGAAAAGATAAGAAGATGCTTAATCAGAAAGAAACTTTGCCAATCAGTATAAGTTATTAGTGGAGTCTCAAGTAGTTTCTTGGGTTCGCTGACACTTTAGAAGACCTTGGGCTAACACCCTCCAACTTAAAGTTCTTCAGATTGGTGATATTGATAGGATTGTTATCCATAGGATAGATTAGGGTTATTGTTATGGTATCAAGGGTATATTAGTAATCGGGTTTGGGTTTGGTTATAAATACAATGAGGGGGTAAGAATGAAGGTAGACAATTGGTAGTATGGTTTAGGCTTGAGATCGGGTTTGGGTTTGATTATAAATACAGGAGGGGGTAAGAATGAAGGTAGACAATTGGTAGTATGGTTTAGGCTTGAGTAAGAGTATACCTAGTGTTCGGGTTCAAGTACCTCGAATTACTTGGTAGTTATTGTAGTTATTCTATCTTTTATATTTCAATATACAACTAGTGTTCGGGAGCAACCAGTTCCATGGGGTAATGCTTTTCAATGGGTCTTTCTTGAGTAGGTTGGAAATATACAACTAGTGTTCGGGTTCTACCAAATAAAATAGACAACTTTGCAAAAGTAACTATTTTCTCAACAATGGAAAGGAGAACATTGTTATTCCTTTCAATGGTTAAAAAACTTGAGATAAGCATACCTATAAGGCTTGGCTTTTTAAATCCAGTTGACACAAGTCTAATTCGTGAGAGGAATATTGCCTCGGATTTTGGAATAATTTGTTGGAAGAGGGTATTATGATCACTTGGAGGTGTTTTCAAAACAATTCTCTTCATTGTTAGCAGCAAAAAGAACTTCTTTATTAACTCTTACCAACTGGATAAAGCATTGTTAAAATATCCCGAATAAGCTCAGTTATTAGTTAAAAATGAGGAGTGTGCGAGAGCCCTAATAGAGGTAGTTTGGGAATAGTATTAATATTGTAGTTAAGGGTGTTATGGTTATTAGTTAAGGGTGAATTGGGTATGAATAGAAGTATTAGGGAGAGAGATGAGGTATCTTGGAGAATAGTATTTTGGTAAAGAACTTGAGAGAGTTCTTTGGGAGAGAGATAGCCCTCTCGAAAGGCTATCGGTTCTTGTAATTACTCTTTGGTATTGCAATATAGTGTTCTTGTTAGGTTCTTGTATTCGGGTACCTAACAGAGTGGTTGACCGATGGATGTCTCTCTCTAAAGTTTGAATAATGGGATGAAAAGTTGCATGGCAGAATGAATGTTGTTCCCTTGTATGGGGGATGATTTAAATTTCGTAAATTCTTTTGAGTCAATTGAGCATTGAAACATCCGCTTGTTCATTAATCTTAGATGCCCATGCACCTGAAAGTCTGTTTTTTTTTCCATATATTTTTTTTAAATGAAAAGTCGAGCTTTCATAGAGAAAAATGAAAGAATACAAAAGGACATATATAAAAACAGCCCAACAAAAGGAGCAAAACTAAAGGAACGGGCTCCAATCTAGTAAGATCAAACTTAAGGAGCAATTGCAAAAAACTTTGGACACCGATGCCCAAAGGAAAATGTTAAAACGAGCAAGGGCCCACACCTCCTCTCAAGATTTCTCCACCCTTCAAAAGATCTTGTTGTTTCTCTCATTCCACAAATCCCATAGAATGACTAAGAAACCCAAAAGTATGCTAGTGCAAGAATATAGGACGGCTATACGGGGACATTCAAAGTTTATCATCTTATAACATTTTTGTTGTTCATTTTTTCTTCCTTACATATTTTCTCCCATTGATTCTCTTTATTCCTTGTTTTCAATTTCATATTTCTTTTAACTGACTATATGCAAGTAACTTATATTTGTAAACCAAATTTATATATAAAATGAAATTATGTAAATTTAAATTTAAACTAAATGAGTTTATAATTTACTTATTGATTAAATATGAAAATTTGTTATAAAATGTTTAGTATGAATTAATTAGCATAGAAAATTAATTGAACATTGAGTATAATGCAGCATAATTAGGGTATTACTTTTGTCGAAGAAACAAGAATATTATGAAAATTGCATGTATCTATATATTCTCGTATTCAATGAAATGATGGTGATGGCTCCAAAATACAAATATTTACAGAGAGCTCATGTCCTTTTCACAGGTGACAAGTGTGAGTTACCACCCGAAAGATAAATGTATGATAACTGCATCGGTAGATGGGACGATTCGGGTTTGGAAGACATGAGAGGAAGAACACGAATTTCTTCCTCAGCTTATAATGCACATTATGCTCTGAGGTATTGAATTCTTCACTTCTTGATACAATTTAATGCAGTTATTGGAATCTTGAATTATTAGTGAGTTGAGTTCGAAACTTGTGGTGTTTAAGGATCTTGATAATGGTGGTGAACATTAATTTGTCAGTCAATATCAAATTGACATAGACTGGTGGATCATGCTCCAACAATAAGAGTCCTTACCAGTACAATAATTCAGAATTTTGAATGAAGTTGCTTGATAAAGTTGAATAACTTGATAGAAAAGTAGTTTCTTATTCTTTGGGTCTCAATCTTGAATTTTGTTTACTCTACAAGTCCTAGCTGTACAAGATCAATCAGATTTCCTTTTTTTCTCTATTATTATATTATTATTTTTGTGTCAGGTTAGCTTACACACCTCAACTAATCTCACGAACAACTAAACAATTGCAAAACCCTACAACATGCGTTGCTAAGAACCCCCCGCAATTTATTGTTCTTACCTTCACCAACGCAATCCCGTCATGTGAACTTCTTAGGGTAACCAGCCTATATTGTCTAGAGTTGGCTAGTATAGGAACCACACGGGGTTGAAAGTTCAATCTCGAAACTAAACGTTTTAAATGGAATAAGTTGAAGGTCCTTCCATTCTCCGAAAGATTGCAAATGGTAACTTTGGAATTATTGACATTGATCTCTTTTATGCTTGTTTCAGGTTCTGCAGAATGCCAATCAAAACTCAAATATAATATCTGGTTGGTTTTTGACTAATCCAAAGCCTCTCTATATTCCAACCTTGTCTTTGATGATGAGTTTCAACTAAAGCTCATAAAGTTGTTTGTTGTCGATATGAATTTCAAGCTCCGATTATGAATCCGTAATTTGTAAATTAGACGACGTCTTTTTTGCACATTCATTGACCCTTCAAGTTGAAGTTTTCATCTTTCATATCAGTCTCAGAATCAACAATCAGATCATTTGATATCCTTTGCAAAGTCAAATACATGGTTGATTCCTTAAATCTGGTGTACCAAATTTACAAGAATGGAGTGGGCGTTGCATTGGCCAACACTGACAAAAAGAAGTAAATGCAAAATTGTGTTGAACAGAAGTCAGTAGTTGGACCTGCCTTCTAAATTCAATAAATTTCCATCATAATTTCATCTGGAAATTCATTTCTTCATTTGACATCATTTCCCATGTCCTCTTCTGCCTTTACCCAACCCACCATTATTGATTATAATCTCACTTAGCTTACTCATCTTCATCTGTTTTTGGATTTTTTCACTCTCTAACTTAAAAGATGGTAGTTATGCTTGCTCGATACTATATTTATTTATTATTAGGACAGTTGCAAATATATCACAAACATTTAGTAAAATTAGCAAAGTGGTCACTACATTTAGTTTTTTCAAATATAGTACTTAAAAAAAATGAAGGTTCAATATTAAAATGATAACTTTATCCAAATGATATGCATCTATAATAATATATATGTATATATATGACTACTAATATATATATATATATATGTAATATACATCTAATATTGTACTAATATGAGTGTCTGATAAACGTGTAGTATTTATATAATATACATTTGATATACCACTGATGTGAGTGCTTGGGCAATATATATGTGATATACATCTAATATACTATGAGTGTTTGATATATTATTGATATAAGTGAAAATTTTGCTATATTTGAAAATTTAAACAACAGGTGACATATTTTGAAATATATAAAATATTTTTTCTACCCACCGCAATTTTCCTATATATTATGAATGAGAAATAAAAAGTAGGACAAAATATACTTTTGGCCTCTAGATTTGGATTTAGTTTCTAGTTGGTCTTTACAATTTAAGAAATGACACTTCAAACCCTTAGGTTTAGGGAAAAGAGGGAGAAAAAGAGCCCCCAAATAAAATTTTAATATAAAGTTGCAAAATTTTGTCCAATCATTTAAAATTGTACATGTCAGCAAGTTCTATTAGGTTAATTTATCTAAACTATTTTTCTAAACCACAACGACTAAAGTGTCACTTTTGAAGCTAAAACAAACACAGTTCAGCGGTATATATCTCTATTAAGAGGTTGTGAGTTCGATCCCCCACCCCATATATTGTACTTAAAAAAAAGTGTCACTTTTGAAATTTTCAAAAGACTAAATGGAAATAAATTGCAATTTGTCCTAAAAAAAATTTTTAATAGTATATATATTAAAATAAAAAATAAGAATCAAAAGAGGTGTGTTATAAATAGCTTTGTTTACTAACGTTTGGAATGAGAATCAATTCAAAATTAAATATGGGCCCATAATATCTATATCTATATCTATACTATATTATCTATACTATATTAAAATGGGAGGATCTCGGAAAAACATTTTTGGACGCTTTTGTCCCTTCCTTAATTTATTAATTTACAAATTATGTCATTAATAATTTATTATAAATATTAAATTAGTTATTGATTATTAATTATCAATAATAATAAATGTACATGCTCTAAACAAGGTTAGAATGCAAAATGTTAGAATACAAAAGGTTTTCTACACCATTAAATTAAATGATTTTCATTAATTACAATTTATAATAGAGTTACAAAACTACAAAAGTTTTGTAACGTTTTATCTCCTAATGCTATAAAAACATACTTTCTTTCACTATTTTTTCACAACACTTTAATCTCTCAAAACATTGCTCTCAAATATTACTCAATCTCAAAAACATCTCAAAATCATGTTGGCGACATATTCATTAAGTTGTAGAGAATACATGTGTCGACACTATATCTTGAATCTAAGGCTTGCGAGATCATCGTTCCATAATTTATGAGGTAAAATAATAGTGATTGTTAAGCATCAACATATTTTAGATTAGTGTATTGATAAACTTTGATTTTTTTTTTTTTTGTTACTATTGTTTTTGTATTGTTCTTTTATATTTAGTATTTCATGTATTTAGAATGTTTTTTTAGAAAATAATAATAATGTATTGATCTATTACAAGCTCATGTTGATTTTGTTGAAAAAAAATGTGTGTAAGGACATAAAATTTTAATTAATTGTAAATAGTAAATTAATAAATTAATTATGTACAATAATTTGTATGAAATCTAAAAAATTGGAATATATAACTTTTTGTCTCTCCCTTTTCTAATAATATAATATAATTTAAAGATTTTTTTTAATAATTTTAATTATAATATGAATTTAAATCAGTATAAACTAAAATGTTTAATATCTAACGAAATGTTAAGCTTGAAATTTTTTTAGAATTTTTAATAAACAAACAAAATATTTTTAGAAAATAATGGACCAAATTAGATAAAATAACATTGTTAAAATAAAAAATTAAAGTGCTTATACATTTCTTAATCAATATATTAAAAATATGAAATGTAGCATAAAATTCTTTAAGAAGAAGGGTACGAAACAATGCAATTTAAATACACTCAAAGATTAAATGATTAAATTAGTAAATTACATATATTTTAATGAAGTTTGTATATATACATCTTAATTTTTTTCTTTTTTTGTTTATTATTATTATTATACTATTAATGGTATTGTTTTTTCTCATTTATTTATGTTATTATAAAATTAAGTTAAATAGAAAATATTCGTGCATTTGCAGGAGGTATCGAACTAGTAGAAATAAAAAGATGGTATTAAATGAATAGATCAAGGGGAAGTTATGAAATTTGAAGTCAAAATAAGTGTGAAAGTAGGATCAACCATTATAATTTACACTATAGATTTGGTTCACTGACTATTGAGTCGGGATCCTTGTTACACTATCTCAGTGATTAAAGACTTGTTTGTGAATGATTTTAAAATAAGTGATTTCAGCAAAATAGAAGACGTAATTGATTTTAAGAAAGATTAAAATCACTTTAAATTGATTTTTAAGGGATGATTTTGAAAAATCAATTATATCTCTCTTCTCAACATCACTTCCAAACACATCATTAATTAATCTCATCTTTTATTTTTTTTATACAACAATATGAGGTGAGGAATTGAACCTCATCGCTAAAAGAGCAAGATATAGTTTTAACCCTAAATTATATTTATGTTGGTCTCTTGATGTTTTCTAATATAAAACTAAATTTCAATTATAATGTTTTTCAGAGGGAATCTCTTTTAACTTTATCTAGATGGATAACCAAAACCATTCTTCCTTTCAAAATCATAAACTTATAAATAATCATTTCAAAGTGTCCAAGAATTGTTGTGAATCCATTTCATATAAAGAAGTAAAAAAGAAAGATTAAATATAAAAGTATAAATTATAGTTAGGTAAATAGTTTCTTATTAACTGTTCGTGTGACAGTCGTGTAGTACAAAAGTTAATCTTTATTATAAATTAATAATAATTACGGATTGGTTCATTTGTCTAAATGATATGTTTATTTGGTAATAAAAAATAATAAGGTCAGGCGTAGTTGTCTCATGAGATTAATCGTCGAAATGCATTCAACGGGACTCGAAAACTCAATGATATAAAAAAATGGTTTTTTTTTATTTTATCTTATTCGAAAATTCAATTTGTCCTATTGATAAGATATTAATGTAGACTGTAGTTCATACCCCCACCAATTAAAGTAAAACTGACATGCTAAGTCTTTTTTTTTCTCTCTCTCTCTCTCTTTTTAAGTACAGCAAAGGACATGGTAAGATATTATTATCACAAAATATTTCAAGAGAAATATGGCCAGTTCATTATTCAATTTCCAAAGTTGTTATTGACAAGGGATTTTGATTAATAATTTTCAAACAATGGAAAAAAAATCGAAAAATAATGTACACTTTTTTATTTTTTAAATAATGTACGCTTTCACCAAATATTTTTTTAGTACACCAAGTGATTTATTTAATCTATAAAAAGAATGAAATAGTCGGATAATCGAAACAAATAATGTCAAATTGGACAAAATATACTTTTGCCCCTTTGTAATTTTGTAGTTTTCCACTTGGTCCTTTTCCAAAACAACATTTTGATTTCTGCATATATAGTTTATGAAATATACATTTTTGATCCCTAGTATTTTAATTTTCTTGATTGTTACATTACATTGTAGTTAACTATTGATGTAATTGTTATAAATTCTATTTAGGTTTAATCCACTTCTCAATTTTTTGTCCAGTTTAGTTCACTTACTTTCAAGAGGGACAAAACTTTTTTAGTTTACATACTTTCAAAACATTCAATCTTAAGAGACGGTTTTGTATATTTATTTCTAATACGGATTTTATATCCAATGAAAATAATTTGATACAAAATTGCATAATATTTCTAAAAGTTGTGGTATCGGCTCATTCACATACCTCTCCTCTCTAGTTGGGCGTTACACGTTCGCAGTGTCTGCTTTCCACCACCCCGCTTCTTGCTCCATGATATTTGGAGTATGCCACAATCTGGGGAGAAGATATTGAGGACAGTTATTACCTGGCTATGAAATGCCTATAAATGCTGAACGTAAACTCGTTTACAGGTACCCGTGAATCTCAACTCATCTTAGAGATTAATCAGTTCGGACATCTACTAACTTGAGCGTTTTAGTACTCATCCGTTTTTTGCATGTCCTTTTCTCCATTAGGATTCATGAGACGTTTGAGTGCTTATTTCGTGTCCAAACAAAGTTTATTGAGTATGTTATTGTGCTAAAGCTATAGTTGAAATGAAACAAAAAAAAAATTATTAGAACAGACACTTTTTTTTAATGTACATGGACCAAAATAAACATGTTCAAAACACAAAGTTGGAAATAAAAGACAAAATGAATGTTTTGAACCTAAGAACGAGCGTGTGAGGCGAGAGTCCTTTATGCTATACTCACAGGAGAGAAAGAATCAACTCGAATCTAATTGGTTGATCTTGTCCCTCGGTGTAGGCCGTGCAATCTTAGATCAATATCAAACCTTCCAATTTACAGATATAGCCTATAAAAATCATGAATTGCCAACAAAATTGTAGAAAGAGGGTCTGGTGCTAGGCTGGAACCCTCAAAATCAAACACATGGGGCTGCCCCTGCCCCTCCCCCTCCAGCTTTCTCTCTCTCTCTCTCTACAATCCAGTGGTTTTCAATTTCACTTTCCACCCAAGCAACAGCGCTCTCCCCTGACAGCTGTCTTCTCATGGCCAGGCTCCCCTACGCCCG